ATATTGTGTGGACGTTAAAAAAACATCAATAGAGGATGAAGTGTTATCATTCCCGTTCTTGTAAATGTTCTTAGGTTGATGATGATGAGGCTTGTTTGCCTTTTCTTTGGCAAGATCATCTTCAATCATAGTGGCCACGGAATAGACCTTTTGAAAAGTGTCCAGACCAAGGTAGCGTAGATGCTTGTTGTACTTTTCATGACAATTGTCAATGAACTTTTGTACTAACTCGAGTTCGGTCGGCCTTTGGGCAAGGTGAGCTGCCTTTTCACGCTATCTACCATAAAAAGAAAGGAAACCTTCATCGTCGCCTTGCTTAAGCATTACAAGTTCATGCAAAGTTTATTTGAACTCCACGTTACTCTCATATTAGGTGATAAAAGTCGAAACTACATCTTCCCATGTTTTTTTGAATTCGGCATCTAGCCCATAGTACCACTCACTTGTGGCTAAGTCTAGAGTTAAAGGGAATGTCAAAGCATAGAGCTTAGGATCAACTCTCTTTAAAGCCATGGTGCAAGTAAAACTCATTAGATGATTTTTTGGGTTATTGGTCACCTTAAATATTGGTAAGTCTGTAGCTACAAACTTTTCAGGTAGAGTAAGTCCCACGGGAGGAGCAAACTTTTCTGCATCAAAGTACTTGTTCTCCATTGTAAAAGGAAGAACAAGTTTCTCCAACGTCTTCTCTCGTTCGGCTAAAGCATCCATTTTTTGTTTCATAGCTAAAGCCTCAGCCTCTTTCCTTTCGACCTTTTCAATTTTCTTAATTCTTTTAGCCTCAGCTTCTTGAGCCTTTTCCTCTCTCATGCGAATAATCTTTTCTTGGAGTTGTTCGATGGTTGATATTATTGGACTGGGATGAGTTGACAAAAGGATATGGTTTGAAAGGGGTGGATTGTTTGATGGTAAACGTAGAATGCGAGTGCCCGAGTGTCTTCGTTCCCACGCTTGGTAACCATCCCTAAAGGAAGTACGAGAAGTAAGAAAATTGACACGCTTGCTTTAAAAAGAAAAGAAAGAGAAAGAGAAAGAGAAATGAAAAAAGACGCAAATTACATTCAAAGGGATATCATCGCCTTTTACCATCCATGAATAACGATATTGTTTGAACGAGCCAACAGTTTACGGAGAATCAAAATGGTCTGGAAGTAGAAGGCGCGAGCAAGCTACTAGGTCGCGCGCAGCCCCGGCACTTGCGCTGGGTGTGGTCGCGCAACCCAATGAGTTGTGCGTGCCACCTGTTTTAGCAGGATTTTTTTTTCGAACGATGGTATTTTCTTTAATTTTTTTTTTGAACGTTTTTTTTTTAATTATATGGTATCCCTTGAACGTGACTCAAAATTACGAAGGGACAACTTCGTAGTTGGGAACCTAAGTTAAGACTAAAAAAGAGGAAAAAAAATATCTTATACACGTCGCAAATCACATAAGCATACGAGAAAACCATTAAATCAAATAATGTCATTCTAAGGTCAAGTTTTTGGGTTTCCAAAGGTACCATATCTTAAGAAACGATGCACGAATCAATCACTCAACGTGTTGACCCATGACATAGCTCTCCTAACATTTGTTGGCGATATAGGTGGGATGATTGCTATTGATTTTGGGATAGAAGCCTGGTGTTGGCGACCCCTAGTCAATGAGCCAATCCCCAATGGTTAGAAGGTGCTTATGATTATGCATGATGCAATGTTGCTTGTTTGGCTTTTACTTTTGTGAAAAAGGAAGATATTATGCATTCAAGTCTCGCTCTCTAACTAGAGATTATCCAAGTTAACCCTCGTTACAACTCATAGGTAACCTAAGATGGAAACCTTGAACCATAACTAAGAACTAATCTTGTAACCTCTAAGTCCTCAGTGGAGTCGCCACTGTGAGGAGGGTGTGCCCATCATAGGGGATCCTTCTCCTCTATGCCCATGGCCTTTAAAGCCTAGGACTTTACACTTTTTTAAGGTGTGTTAGGATTTTAATTCCTGACTATTTGGGGGACCTTGAATTAGAATTGATCCTATCATTACGCTTTTTTGTAAGAAACTAATAAGGAGTCGCCAATGAGTTTGAGGAAAACTTATAAACCTCGTTCATGCCTTTCTCCCAAGTAGAGTTCAAGGGATATATAGCATGAATCATAAGTTTACCCATGTCTAAATTGGTCTACTTGTACCAGAAATGAGTTCGGGAGCAAGGGTACTAAAATAACGTTCCTTTTAGGGAGGAATCGTTATTCTAGCCCAAGTGCAGCCTTTACTAGCTCTTTGTTTTTCACAATTTCATTACCAAACAATATATGCAATGTGATACCTAAAACTAAGTTAGTTGATTTTATTTACACGCATTAATCACATAAGGATTACATTGCAACGAATGTCGTTATTCTTATTTAATTCAAATTCATGAAAGGAACAAAATAAACAAGATTCGCCTTGGCTTAGGTGATAAAACAATCAATTAAGTATTAAAATTCTAGTCTTGATTAACGCAAGAAAACTATGTGAAATTAATTAATTAATTAAAGTTTATTTAAAGTGATCAAACAACACTAATTAATTGATTAAAAGTTGTTTAAGAAAGAAAAGAAAGGTGATTTATCTAAGTACTCGGGAATTTACCACTTTTCCTTGCTAGATCTTCGTTTAGAACACTTATGGACTCCTTCTTGTTCAGGAACCTCCACCGTAAGAGCAAAACAATTAAAGGGTGAGTGTTTAGGACAAGAGGGATGATTAGTGCATAAATTCACAAAAATTTACTGACTTTTTAGGTTAATTTTTGTATCTTTCAAAGCTCGTATTGAACCTTTATTTAAAAGGAATGGGTTAGTTTGGGGTTTTGAACATTCTGCCGCAGCAGGTGGCGCGCACAACTGAACATGTTGCGCACGGCTGCTGCACGCAAGTGATTAAGCTGCGCTGATCAAGGCAACGCAACCTATGGTCTTGCGCGTGGCTTTATGGTAAGATTCGATTCAGTATATTTATGAAATTTTGAATCTTCCGCAAGCGTACCACTAGACTTTGCGCTAGGCGTAACGCGCAACCTTGTGAGTTGCGCGCGCCAGGCTAGCACAAGTCCTTGAGTTGCGCGCGGATTTTCCTGTGGTAACCTTAGATTTTAACCTAGGCTCTTCTAAATCCGTCAAAATTAGGTTTAATCTCGGGATTAGGCCTAATTGCTTATCAGGATTAGTATTAACAAGCTTTGGTTTATTTCGTTTTGGGTCAAGCTAGTTGGTTTATGTGTTTAGGCTTTAATAGTAGTCCATAAGCATTCTTCATTCCAATCCAACACAAAGATCGAATTATTTATCATCATATCACTTCCGGTTGGGACAGGGGACCAAAAGTAGATGTCTACATACTTTACGTGAGTTACAGGTTTAAACTTGGTGCTGACTCATTTACAAAAGCAATATAAACAACTAATCAAACATCAATCATTCATACAAATTCATATTTCCAATTTCATTCTTGAATTATTAGCGACAAACAACATTTAGTGTTTAATCCTTTAAACTACCTCGGTGTGTAAACAGCTTAAGTGCATAAGGCACCTCAAATTCTCAATCTTGTCTTATAAGACTTCAATTCTTCCTTTCTCATTCCATTTCAATAATCATGAATAATTAATAATAATAATAATTCAATCCAAATGCTCATGTACATTTTCCTCCAAGTTCATATTGCAAGTTAATGCATATAAAATTACTTACAAGATAACTCAACATACATAAGTTTATAAGTCATGCACATTCAAGCATAAATACCAAAGAGATTTATTACCAAACAATTTCAATCAACCACAAGTTCCCTAATCATGATTCTAAGTTTTCCAAATCCTTAAATATGCTCCTAAAGTCAAGGCTTTTTGTATCCTTGTACGTACACCTCGAGTAAACGAATTGGTTGGCCATTTTAAAAACTAGAAATTGCCTTCTATGAAGTCCTCTCCTAAACCAAATAACAATAATTCAATCAATACCCAAGCAATTTAATTTACAACAATACTAATGTACTTTAAAAGCTCCTAAAAATCATTAAAATGATGTTATTAAGCCTCCCAAACTCCTAAGTTAATGGTGTAGAAGTATTGTTATGAGTTCTTATCAACAAATCTTAATAAACAACTTTACTTATAAAATTACAGCAATTTTAAAACCTTATAAAAATCTGAAAATTTATTTTATACATGACATCTTAAAATTATAGTAATCTTTGAAGCTACCTACATTATATATTAAGTTAGTAAGCTTAATACACCAATTCAATGTAATTAGAGACTTCAAAAACATTAAACAATTCTGAAAATTAATTCTTGAAATTAGACTTTAAAGTTCAAGGCTTTATAATCACAAGCTAATATATGCGCGCCATGCGTGCACAAAATAAGAAATACATACATGATATTTTATGAAAATCAGGAGTCGAAATTATTTACGCATACAGATTGTACATATATCACATATACTTGGAGACAATGTTGTAATAAAATTACAATATTAAAAACATAAAAACAAATATCCTCAAGAGTAGCATGGGATGTTTTTACTTCCATGCACTTTTGATGCTTAATTGTTGACTTTTATCACGCTTAGCTTGCTCCCTGATAAGAAGATAAAGAAGTCATTTCATAGATGTTTATGACTTAAGAATCTATGTATGCATGTATAATATAAATGTTTATGAATTATGACTATCGGAAGTTATGAATGCATGTTTAATATTTATGATGATACCTGATAATTAGGGTTGTGGCAAATGAGGCAGGAGAACTTCTTTGTAAACTACGTTTTTTGTAAATACACCACATCTACCTCGAGTATCTCTTTTGCTAATCAAAACTCTGGTTGTTTCTTGTGAGGTCCCTCTCGATAGTGCAACATATAACTGTCCATGGCTGAAAACATGTTGGGGGAGATATATACCAACATGAGGAATGGTTTGCCCTTGCGATTTGTTTATGGTTAAAGCAAAACACAATTTCACATGAAATTGTTTTCATATCATTTCAAATGGCAACTTCACATCTTCTGCTGTTTTTAAAGGCATATGTGGAATGAACACTTGTGTCCCTTTATGAATTTCGGTCATAATTTCAGCCTCAATCACATGATCCCTTAATCGACTACATATTAACCTTGTCCCATTACACAATCCACTACTTGTATCAATATTTCTCATAAGCATGATTGGCGAGCCAACTTTCAGCTTAAGAATATGTGGTGGCAAACCACCGAAGGATAATGAATTCAAGAACTCCTGTTGATAGAGATTTTGACGATCTTCTGGAACAAAGTCACATGAGTAGTAGGTTTTTTCTTCTCCGGCAAACTCTCTAAGTATCTTCTCATTCAGCATGTCAACTTTGTCATTTGTTGGAGTTATAATAGCTCTTTGCACCATGTATGACACATCACCTATGTGCTTAGCTAGGTTTGGGAATATTTGATGGATTAGATTATCAACTGAAATTTGATCACCATTTCCTAAACATATTGAAGATGGTAACTTTATCATGTATTCATCAATTGTAGGCTCACATCCATCTCCAACTCTTAAAAGAAAGGCTGCAAATTCTGGATCATGTATTAATCTCATATTTTGAGTGAGATGAAGTAGCTGAACATGTCTCCATAGTGTTGACCTGACCAAACACGCATCTATAGTTTGAGCCTTTGTTCCTTTTTGTACAATGGGTAAAATTTGTCTAAAATCTCCACCAAACACTACGACCTTGCCGCCAAATGGAACATCAACCCCTGTTAGATCTCTTAAACTACAATCAATTGCTTCATACGCATGTCGATGAGTCATTGTTGCTTCATCCCATATTATGACAGTTGCATACTTGACCAATTGTGCCTCTACATCTTGTTTACTAAACTTCCAAGTTGACGAAGCATGCAGCGTAACCAGAATACCAAGAGTTTTATGAGCGGGTTTTCCTCGATGCAATAGTGTGGCAGCAATACCTGAGCTGGCTACTGGTAATCCATATTTCCCTCTAAGCTTACCTGTCCCACCTGGACCATCTATAAAGAAAATTCGACCATTCTCTGCATCAATAGCTTCCATAATGATATCAAATGAAGAACGTTGGTCGTCATTAAGATGCTCAACACAATGCACATCTTTAGGGGGCACTAGTGCTGATAATTCATCATGTATGGCTCTAGCTACTTGTGCGTTTCCATCCAATTGCATGTTTATTTTAGGTAAGTCGAAGTCATTGACACTCTTTCCTAATTGTTTTAACATGCGAACGATGTCATAGAGAACTGAATCACGTACCAAATCTGGATTTGTTGAAGTTGAATATAAGTAGTCTTCAGCCATGTAATGATAAAATTCATCCCATAGAGATCGAACCCCAGTTGGTTGACAATAAACCAATAGCGTGACAAACAATCTTCTTAATGAAGATGGCATTTTAGAGTTTGATGCTTCATGCAAACAATCACGAATGCTTGCATCATTCTCCATAAGACCTAGTTTTTCAGTTGCTTCTCTAAAAGTAGTTTAAACAATTCCATTGACAGTTTGTATATGCTCAAATGATTTGGGGCCTTGAACATAATCCAACAACAAACGCAAGAAAAATCTTTCTCCTTCCATTGGTGAGGCTGTATAGATTCTACCTATCACTCTTTGTGTACTCATCCTTTTTCTCCAAGTTTTTGTAGCCGTCAGCCATCGATAACGTTGAGGAAATTCTCTATATAGGTATGTTCTTGCCTCTTGATCTAAGGAATTCATCTTGAAGAATTCTGTGAGCATATTTCAAGAATTTTGTGGCATTTGAAGGATATCTTCAATAGATTGATTTGTACTGAATCTAACCATGTGCCTATCTTGCAAATGTAGTTGTAATCGAGCAACAAATGGACACATTCGAGTAATGGGAAACTGATATATCCTCCATAAGGCTTTAGGTGCACATACCCACCTAGCATCCACATATTGTTGAATCTCATTGTATTCATCCCCTGCTCGAACTTCCATTGAAACACGATCTACACCCTTATGCACATACTTGAACAAATATTTGACGCTCTTGATGCTACTACAGATCTCTACGTTGATATGACAATCATATTTTAGTAGCAACCATGAATTATATGGAACAACCCAACCATTATCAACGAAGGTTGCACTATTCTCATGTAAAGGTACTGGAGGACGATCACCACGACGACGGTAAATAGGATATGAGTTCTTGCCTTGGACTGTGCTTACTGCAAAGGGTTTAAGAAATTTACGTTTACAAACCCCATTTTCCATGCAAGAAAAATTTCGACGACCTTCACCACACGGATTATGGATCATATGCTTCAAAACCGCATCGTATAATCATGGTTCTTCATCTCTATCAGGTATTCGGCTCTCACAAATGTGTCATACTCTTCCATAGATTTTGGTTTATCTTTTTCGTCCAAAATGAACAGCATGTGAACATGTGGCAAGCCTCTTTTTTGAAACTCAGTGACATATACATAGGTAATAACCTTCCCAAGAGCGCCTTTTTCTACAACGTCCATCTTGAATTCTTTAAATTTTGCATGGAATATTCTAGTGATCAAGTCGGGACGATTTTGTGCTGTTTGACCTGACAATAATTCGTCTACAATTTCTCTCCATGATGGGTTGCATGTCATTGTCAAAAAGAGGTCTGGTTTTCCATAATGTGTAACTAATGCTATTACATCTTGAAATCTTTGATTCATATCTCTTGGACACCCGACAAATGAAGAAGGTAGAATGGTTGATTTTCCGGCATTCACTATAAGTACAATGTACCGTTAATTATTTTATATACATAATAATAGTAAAATTAAAATTAAAGGAAACAAAATATTTAAGAAAAGAACCTGGATTGAGTTCTCCGACATCTAAACAATCTTGAAGTCCTTGATACAATTCAGCTCTAATTGTATTTTGATTATCTCGAATCCACCTTAGCTTATTTGCCTCAATTTTCACAAACATGTCAACAATGAATTGTTGAAATAAGCGCCCTGCCATTAAGATGATGGATATGACACATTGTCGTACCTAAAATAAATAAAATTCCATTAAAATATGAGAAAAGAATATATATATCCATGTGTTAATATGTGAGTGGAGTGTACTTTACTTGAATGATATAGGCATAGAATGATCGACAAGGTATGGTTATTCCATTATTATCGAGACTATTTATCGACCATCCATAGGAACCATATGGAAAGAGTAATGGATACTGAAGAGGATCATAGTATCCAGCTGTATCCAACACAGTCATAATTGCCCATAAGTTGATTGAACTAAAATATCCCTTGGATTTAAGTTCGCAACTTCTTCTCCACCGACAATCATAGCCGCAACTTGAGAAGCAGTAGGAAGACAATATTGAGGTCGATCTGATGGTTGTTCATTAATACGGAGGGCAAAATCTTGTACGTTTTCTTGCTGAGCCAAACTTCAAAGATTATGAACAAAAGGATTGCATTAATCAAGAATGGCTTTAACTCGTTCTACAATATCTTGTCGTAATGTGCTATTCTCTGCAAGACGATTCTCAACCTCGTGCTCAGTGTCATATATGTACAACTGAAGGAATCGTGGCCGAGATTCCGATGTAGATGGGAGTAGTCCACCTATCTTATGATATATAGAATCTTGAGCTCAAAAAGTATATACTCCGTGTTGAGCATTTGCTAAGCTCTCATGTAAGTGCACTCCCATGGATGTTAAAGTAAATAAGTGATTAATTTTTCTAATATCACGCTTAAAATGCAATCCAATAGGTGTTTGATCAGTATATAAAGAACATAGATCTTCAGGAACAGGTAAGGTTGGCAAGGTAATCCTCCAAGATAAACAACATATTTGGGATGTTTCATTATGAAAAAGGGCTTGGCAAAATGTACATGTTCTCGGAGGTGATAATTGAACGGTCGGGACTCCTCTTTGCTCATGAAAGTTTATTGCACAACGATGACATACTCTTTCTCTATTTCTTTGAACACTGTTGCTATGCATGAAATTAGGACCTAAGACCTCTTTAATGCCATTGTTGCCAAAACTTGTACTACCACCTCGGTTACTTTGTCGACCAAAACATGTAGAATTGTGCGATATGACATTTTGACCATTTTGAATTGCTAGGTTATGAATTAAATTTATTTAGTATGTTTGATGCTAAAAACAACATGTCACATGATTTTAATATTTAACTTTATCAAGCTTCTTACTAAGTTAATGTATTTTTGTTCATCTTGCAAAATAAAAATATGGATCTTAGACCATTTGATGCTTAAGAATGAAAATGTGTTGCATAATCAAGAGCAATATAACTCATTAAATGTTACAGTGTATTTTTTTATATTTCACTTCATATCTTATGTTTTAACTATATATTGAATTAGTGTAGACAATTTTTTTTTTATATTATTATACTTCATTAACTATCCATATATCTTTACTATTTATAAAAAAAATTAATTTACTACTGGTTACTTGGTTGATATTAATGTAATGCCAAAGGTTTCACATGATATGATGCATGCTCTATTTGCAAATCATAAAGAGAATTATTTTGGTAATGAAAGACCATGTGTAAATTGCCGCAACTATAATTTTCAAACCGTTTAAGGGTAAATGGGCCGATGTTTTTTTTTAATTATTATGTGATATATCTAATAATTTTTTTAATATAATCATTATTAGTAAGGCGATTTTTTTAGTACGCACATTATAAAGTTTTCTTTGACATTGTTTGCTTTCTATAAAATAATAGAGAAACTAATATTGTTAGGCATAAGTTAACCAATTTATACACAAAATTGTAAAAATATATATTTCTCGATGTTATACAACTGGATTACTATATAATAAACAATTATATATGTTGTTAAAATTGTAATCAACACATATTGATGTCATATAAAAGGACAATAAATGTATTTAATTACAAAAACAATGTCAAGAAGGCTATAAACATAATATTACTCAACTCACGTGTGCATCTTGAAGCACGATTTGAAGTAGTGTAGTTGCCAGTTGTGATGTCTTGATTAGTAATATCCGATAGAGTAGAAGAAACGGTTTGTTGTCAATCATTTCTCCTTAAATTATAAGTAGAAGAATCGGCTTGTTGTCGAGCATTCCTCCTTAAATTATAAGTAGTCCGCCTTCGAGTATTTAAGGCAATAGCTTCTTGTTCTAGTTGTTTTGAAGTCATCCTTCTCCGTATTAAATTTCGATAGTATGACGTAGATGACATCTGATTTTCCATACCTATTAACATAAAAATATATAAGTAAAAGTACATAATGTAAATTAAATTATAATAACGGAATGCTATAAAAAGGTGCATGATATAGAAATCTAAAATGTTTAACTTGTGTGTACGAAGTATTGCATGCATAGTTACCTTTTAAGTTGCTACTCCATTTATTTGGTCCAATGAAGTTGGTACAGTATCTTCTGCAGTACCTTATTCTTTTTTTACTTTTCTTATAAACTTTTGTATATATCATTTTTGATTTTTTTTTTGGAAAGTAAAATACAAGGAAAATTAGGTTTTGTATATATCATATGTGCATAGTTATTCATAAAAGAAATAAGAGAAATTCTATATGAAAGCCCTCAACTTTAAAAAATTCTACATGGTGAAATTTAACTGTAACACCTTTAAACCTCCCTCTACGGAAGATGTAGAAAAATACGTATAAATACCGTAGAGATAGACTTGGGCGTATTACCTCCGCGTGATAATGCAAGGCTTATACTTCAAAATACCTTTGCAGCGATAATTCTTTATTCTTTATTAATAATACTTCAAATAAAGATGTTCATTATTTATGACATAAAAAAAAACAAAATCAAACTTTTCCTAAGCTAGGTGAAATTCCCGTAGACTCCCATATGCATCAATCAATTTCCACCTGAAAAGTTCACCTGCTTACCATGAATGGTAAACAGGGCAAAGCCAAAACAAAAGCACGCATTAGCAAATTATGCTAAGTAGATTATGTGTGAGATAAGTAAAACATCAATTAAATCATTTAATTTTAATTCTAATAATTTCAAAGACAATCTTCCCAACATCATACTCATGTAAGAGCTTTTCCAATGCAATTCTTTCAAGACAAGTTTAAAACTCAATTGATTATGTTCCAAAACCAATTCCTCACTAAGTGTGCACACCCCCCAAGTGGTTTACTTTATGAACAAAGGCCAATCTTGAGGAAAGACTAGGTCATGAAAAGTGCATAGTCTTCTCTAATCCATTCCCTAAGTGGGATTCATAACCATATCGATTGATTCTCTTAAAAGCACCTTTAAAAAAAAATCCCTCATTCCTGAATATCAAGAAACCTGTAAATCATTTTTAATCCAATCCTTTTTAATAATTTTAATCACAATTCAAAATCTCTTTTGGTTAACCAAAATCATTAATTTAAATCATCATAAAACATAATTCCATAAGAAACATAATAAAATATAATTTCATTAAACAACTTTCGAAGATATCAAACCACATAACGTACCTTGATCGTAATAAGAGCGATTCACACAATTACTTCACTTAGTCACGAACACCCTACACAATATTATAACCTTAATTAATATAAGGCTACCAAATAAGCACAACAACTTAACCAATCTATCCTATATGTGCATGAATTTATTGTAATGTATCATTATATTTTAATAAAATAATTTTTTATTTTTATAATATAAATAATTTTCTGTTTTCATACTATAATTTATGCAATAAATAATATATATTCAATTATAAATTCTTAGTAATGTAAAACAAGGTTAGGAGAAAGGAGAAATTGAAGGATGGAGATGGAAACCAAAGGCAAAGGAGGAGCAAGGGGTGGCCGGCAGTGAGAGGTGGCGGCTGGTGGTGGTGGTGACTGGTGGTCACCGGCGGCAGCAGGTGGTCGCCGATGATGGTGGTGGCCGAAAATTGGGGGAGGAAAAAGAAGAGGAAAACCGTGAGGGAAAGAGAGATTTCTTGAGGTTTTAATGTGTGTCTTGGGGTGTTTGGAAGAGGGGTATTTATAGGTGTTTAGGTGATGAGTTTATAGAAATTTTGGGTGGGTATAAATTATGGCAATTTCAAAGAATGGGAATTAGGGTTTTAAGGGTTTAAGAAATAATTGAATGTATGGAAGAATATTAGAATTTTAGTTTGGTCATGAAATTTTTGTTTAGTAAGTTTTGAGCTTGGAGTGCAAGTATAGAATAAGATCAAATAAATTTTTGATTTAGGAGTAGAAGTAAGGAATATTATAGGATTTTTATTTTTTAATAAAATAAATTAAAATCATTTAAAAAAAAAAACTATGAGTGGCCGAAAATATTGAGCTCAATATAGCTCAATAATTTCGGTCCCTCTATGTTAATTCATAGATTTTTGTAAAATATTTTTATGCCTAAAATTAATAATTTAATTAAATTTATTTTGTGAAAATTAATAATTGGAAAGATAAAATCAGATTTTTCATTATTAATATCCGAAAATATTATGAAGAATTTTAGTTTTATTAGTTTAGGAAATTAGTCTAATTTATTAAATAATTTAGGGGTGGCCGAAAATATTAAGAAAATAATTAACGTAATATTTTCGGATTACTTATGCTAATTTCATAGATTAGGTAAAATATTTTATAATTAAATATATATTTTATGAAAATAATTAATTTAGATAAATATTAAAACAAATCAGGTTTTCATTACATAAACTCCGAAAATATCATTTAATTAGTTTAGGAAATTAATTTAATTAATTTATTTTAACCGAATTAATATAATTTCGGTTTAATTATTTAATATTAGAGAAATCAAAAATACTATTTATAACATTGCTATAAATTGGTTTTATTTAATTAGTTTTGTAAAATAAAAAGACAAATGATTTAGGCGCCAAAATTCAAATATCATTTTGGCTCCAAAACTAAAATACTATTTAGGAAAATAATTAATGTAGAAAAGACGTCAAAATACGAGACTAAAAATACTCTTTAATTTAGAAAATACCTTTCAAAGATACGGGGTATTACATTTACTCCCTATTTCAAAATAAGACTTCCATCCAACGTCTTGAGTCCTCTAGGAAGGAATTATACCGTTTCAGCTGTAAAGGCAGTAAGCTGCATTAAGCTACTTCCTTGTTATACCTTTTATGTGTCTTGTTAAGATAGTGGTCAATAACTCCAATTACTTTTGTTTGCAACTCCGTTTCTTTAGGTTAGGTCATAATTTCATGTGATTGTGCAGTGTATTTTGAGTCTTGAGGCTATATTTCTGTTTGATTATGAATGTTAGTTTATCTATTTGGAATGTTAGGAGTTTTCCACCTTATAAGTTGTAAGTAGGGTCGTCCCTTAACAAATCTAATTAAGTAGGGTCGTCCCTTAACAGATCTAATTGGGTATGCTTATTTCTACATGGTGAACAAAGTAAGTATTGTATATCTTTCTGTTCACTTTAAAAAAATTTACATGGTAAACTTTTACTCCCTATTTCATAATAAAGTGATACTTTACTTTTTAATAATACACATAGTGACTTTATTAATTTAAGCAAATTTCATGGCTAATTTATCATACACCTAATCATCCCACCCCTATATCATAATATCTGATATGTGAAAAATTAATGAATTGACACACCCCAGATAATTTTTTTTTGGCTAATTAAAATCTTCTTTTTCTCATAACAAAAACAAAAACATATGGTAATTTTTTTTTCCAATTGTACTATTAACAATTCGTGTGACATAAGATTAAAAAATTTTTAATTAGTACTCGTAGTATACATTCTTATAAATATTAAAAAAGACACGTCATAATATTCAACTATTTATGGTTGATCATCTTTACTCAACAATAGCATCTAATTGTGAATGGGTCCGCCTATCGAAAGTTAGTATAGTGGATTTCTAACATCATTAATATTAACATAACTTAGATTTGTGTCAATTATTTTAGACAAAGTTAGATAAACTTTGGACACTATTAGGTATCAAAAAGCAACTAAAATTAACTAAATACCTCGTTACTTCGTATTATAAACTAATACTATATAGTATTTAGTAAGAGATTAAATCAAAACTTGTGCATATCCCCTTAGCAATTGACCAAATTTCCAATATATCAGCTTCATTATTATCCAATAAAATAATATATTACATAATTATAAAACAAAGAATTGAAACATCAAAAGTTATCTTATATTCTTCCTTATTTTTTCTAAGTGTGAAGGTATGAAGGAGTGGTGAAAATTACTTTGTACAGATGTTCATCAAGCAATTGATTTCATATGAACTTGTCAGGAATTTTCTCATAAATTTACGTTATATGAAAACGTTAAAGTTAAAGCATAAGAAACAACCGTAGAAGGTGAGTACAATGCTGATAATTTGTCATTTAGAAACATGAAGATGTAGCAATAATTTATAATTTACATTTTTATACTTTAGTTTATAATTGAATTGGGAACCCATCGTAGTTTATTGTTTAATTAGTAAATTAATATAGAATTGCAGTAAATGGTTTACCTTTGTAAATATAATGTCAGTTGTGCACAAAAATGAACGTTCGTGAATATGCAATCCTACTTGAGTTCGAAAGAGGAGTTTTATTGATGTGCACCATAGTCAAACAATCAACAATCCCTGCAAATTCAACCAATATTATGATAATCAATTATACAAAAATAAAATAAAACAGGCGACTACTCTTGTTTTATTTAAAAAAAAAATTAGAAGACAACTTGAACGAAGAAGGAACAGATAATTACTCGATTGAAGGCATGGCGATTTTCGTTAATGGTTTATAATTATATGAAATAATTTTTTTTTTCAAGATAGAATATGTTACTATAATAAATGAAAAGTTACAAATAGTAAAGATTGAAGATAATTTTATGTTTGGAGAGAACTGGATGTGTAAAAATAAATATTGAGAGAATTGTATATTAAAAAAAACGAAAAAAAAGAAGTGGGTAGTTTTGTTTTTAAAAAATAATGAATAAATAAAGTGGATAACAATAGTGGCAAATAATTATGAATTGTTGATAATTGTATATTGAACGTGAATAGTTTATGTGATAAATTTTAAAATATATTTTATATTTTATTAATTTATAAAATATCCATGGCTAAAGATTTTTTTGTAATTAAAAAATTGTCCCAAGTTATGTTGTAGAAAAGTTTTAACGTATGGAGTATAAAAATTCTAAATGTTGTGATATGTTTTTATTTTATCCAAAACAGAAAAAATAAAAAAAAGTTACGTGCTATTATTTTTTTCTTTTTTTTTTGGGACAGTTTTGTTAAATGAAAAAAATAAAATGTAGGTTTTTTTTTCTTTTTTATATCTTAAAATTAGCATATACGGTTATCTTTAAACTACTTTTCCTTATTTTTTTTAATATTGAGAGAATTGTATATTAAAAAAAACGAAAAAAAGAAGTGGGTAGTTTTGTTTTTAAAAAATAATGAATAAATAAAGTGGATAACAATAGTGGCAAATAATTAGGGATTGTTGATAATTGTATATTGAACGTGGGTAGTTTATGTGATAAATTTTAAAATATATTTTATATTTTATTAATTTATAAATATCCATGGCTAAAAGATTTTTTTGTAATTAAAAAATTGTCCTAAGTTATGTTGTAGAAAAGTTTTAACGTATGGAGTATAAAAATTCTAAATGTTGTGATATGTTTTTATTTTATCCAAAAAAAAAGAAATAAAAAAAGTTACGTGCTATGTTTTATTTTATTTTATTTTTTTTGCGTCAGTTTTGTTAAATGTAAAAATAAAATGTGGTTTTTTTTCTGTTTTACCACTAAAAATTAGCATATACGGTTATTTTTAAACTAATTTTGTCAAAGTAGAATTTTATTTTTTAATTTTTTGTCAAAAAAGTTATGTGCTATTTTTTTTTCTTTTTTCTGAAAGTTTTGTTAAATGTAAAAATAAAATGTGATTATTTTTTTCTTTTTTACTGCTAAAAATTAGCATATACGGTTATTTTTAAACTACTTTTGTCAAAGTAGCTTTTTATTTTTTCGTGGCCAACTTTTTTTTTCCCTCTCTTCTTAATGCTATGATATACGTAATTGTATATAGAAGTTTAGAGAAGTTTATGTAACAAATTTTTTAATGTTGATAACCTTGGTTTGATAGATTGTATCATAAGATGAGATATAATTATCTTTCGTTTTTTTAAGTTAATAAAATAATAATGCTAGTAATTCTTGATTTATTCAATGAACGTGTATAGGAAGTGACATATAATCCTATTTACTTTTTTATGGAGATAGATATTTTTTGTAAAGAAAAAATCATGTTGATTGAGTATTGTAATATAAATTACATACAAAAGCTCTAAAATTATATAAAAACTGAATATTTACATACTACACGAAGCACAAAGTACAAATAAAAAACTGAGTTTTAAAAGCTTCCAAGCTTGTATATATAATATACAAAGTGTTACATAGTTTCTTTATGGAACAATATCAACAACGCGTTGGCTTCGTGATTGAGCTATATAGTATAATAGTGCACTGTAATTATATTAAGTTTAAAAATAAGTTTTGAATACGGTCACCTTTTAAGTAAATATGCACACTCTTCCTCCCAACTAACAAATGTCACATAAATAACTTTGTAGGGTGACGATTGAGAAGTTTGGGATGTAAGGGTAAAAACATATTAGTTATCATGACGTGAATGCAACAGCTTCAACATCTCTTTCTCATTAACCTATGAATAATATAATATATAATATCGTTAGAAAGATAAATTAATGAGATGTCAAATCAAAATTTTATTATATACATAAACCTAATCATGCAAGTCCTTCAATTGGGACACAGTAGCTTGAAAAAGGAATTCAATTTAATTTGTTGGTTGAACAATATCAAATGCAGTAACCAAGTAGAGCCTTTGATAGTAATCTTGATTGATACACTATTTACCAAGACACATACATAATAAAATAAATACATAATAAAATAAATAAATAAAAAGATTCAAAATAAATATACTAAAACTAATTTGATAATCTTACCCTTGAGTGATTTGAGGATTTTATGTGTAGCAATTTGTACATGTCCTTTGATCAACAATATAATTCACTTTATAATTGCAAATCGAGCATGCATCATACCATGTGAAGCTTTTGTCATTAATATCAACCAACATTTCCCTATAATGTATAATAAATGTTATTTAAACAATTTATGAAGTGCAACAATTGCAACATGTAATTTTTATAAACCAATAAAAGATATATAAACAGTTTAAGAAGGATAAAATAATAAATTACGAATTATTAATAAATAATACTATTAGAAAAGTAAATCTATGTTAATATTGTAATATGGTAAGATATTACTATTGGCCTTGATGGAAACTTGTATGTTGTAGTACGATGGGCATTTGATATCAAAAGTGTCAGATACAACGAAAGACCACAGGTTTGTATCCATTTAGCTTTAGCTAGAGCAAAGGTATCATTGCAATATCTATAAAAAAAATTAAGATTGAATAAGATGTTTTATGCAACACATTGGCAATATAAAAAAATTATATCAAAGTGGCAGTTGATTTGGCGAGTCTAATTAGGATTAAATTCTTAAATGTACGTGATGGCATGATGCTACCCCAAGTATTAAGTAATAAGTGGTGATCGACTAATTTATTATTTATCTATAATACAAAAAAAAACATTATTACTATAATAAAAATAGAAGAAAAAATAGTGTACTACTACTAACCATTTTGCTATAGCATCGGGAGTAGAGTCATTGTGGTTGATATATAATCTTGTGTATCTTCCGGATGTCAAATGTAATGTACCTAAAACTTAAATTTAGAATAACAAAATTAATATCAAATAATCTTTTGTGATACTAAACCATGGTATTTTATAAAAAAAATTATAAGTAATCAAAATTTACCATTATAATTTTGAAGCTGGACACTACATGTAAGTAAAGTGAGATTTTGGTCATATTCTTCTATTGCTCGTTCACCAATTTCGTTGACAAAGTTATTCCATATCGTCAATCTCATAGAAAAATAAACTAACAAAAATGCATATAATTTAGGATTTACATTGAAATTGAAATTAAAAGTAGGATAAAGATTGAACGTAGCATAAAAGTAGGATAAACGTTGATAGAAGTATCATACTTCAAGTTAATATAAAATGTATACATCTTGTACAGAATATACTAAAAGTATCCTAGCTTTTTTTTAATCTCTAAACTTTAGAGTTAGGTGTAGTACTAATTTTTCCCTACGGCTATTATTTCATGGGCAGTAGCCTTAAATTCATATATATACATACCTTTGATCTAGTAGAATAATATCTTGTTTAATGGTACCCGTACAATCATTTCGGTGAATCTCACTTGCATATATGATTATTCCCGCAACATCTAATTCCCAAACAAACATAAAAGGGTAAGATATTAATTAAAGAAATATTGAATATGTTTATAAGAAAATTAATAGTTTCTAATTAATAAAGGTAGTATGAAAGGGGGTATAAAAACCTATCACAATTCCTTCAGTACGTTTATATGACTTTACACCATGTAAAGACACCAAGTTGTAAGAGTACTTTGGAAATTCTTCGATATCGGTATCAACATAGGATAATTCTGTTTCCTTAGTTATGTTGACTTGATACGGATTATGAAATATTCGTAACCAATCATCAGCTTGAATAACTTGTACCATTTTAAAACAATACATGGAACCTTCTTGTAGTTTGCCAATAAAATTATCAACATCCTTTGTAAATATAATACCTTGAATGGGTTCTCCCTTTAAAAAACAAAAGGAAAAATGAGTAAGTATGTGATTGTGGAATAATATAACAAAAGCATTGTAAATTTGGTTTGATAGATTATTTAACGATATGGATCAAAAGAAAGATAATGAACTAAAGATAATGAAGAGTAATAGATCCTAACGTAACTACTTAATCATATATTATATTTTATATATATAATAAGATTTCACTGTTAAGAGAAAAAATAATTTTTAAAACAATGTTTACATACTAGCATCAAGAAGAACCATCTTCCAAATTTTTTTATTAATTTTGAGATGCTGAATTTCGTATAGTCTAATTATCCTTGCCTTCACATTCCAAAATTTTGAGTACGAGTTCAAATACATGAAAGGAGCGTATGCAATTGACATCCTGTTAATAAAAGATATGAAAATGTAATGAAATCTAAATTTTGTAGCCAAGATTTCTGCTATAAATGGAAACCAAAAAAAAAATTGATACAAAAATTAAAAAAAAGAAAAGAAGTAAGTACATTGTACCTACTTTTCATGTATTTGTAATCTTATAAATAGCACATAGCTTAATAACACATAGTAGGATTTAATATTAAGTTTTTTTTTTCTTTTTTTTTTTTTTTGACAATAGCAAAGCAAAGCATAAAAACCACTACGGAACCGAAAGATTGGTTCGATATTGTCTAGCTATCTCATTAGCTCTTTGTACCTGTTCTCTGGGAACCTTTAAGACGGCACATCGTTGGAAGTTCGCCCCTGCTTCCTTAATCTCTTTTATAATCCAAGTTGTCGCGATTTCGTTGCCTGTCTTCCCCTTTAGATTATTAATAAGGAGGCTCGAATCCGAAAAGATAAGGATCCCATTTTCACCCTTATCTTTCGCCCACTTTAGGGCCTCTAGGCATGCCCAAGCTTCACACTGGAAAGCAGACATAGCTGCTCTCTGGTTGCCACCCTCCCCCAGCACATGACCATGCGTGTTGTGCTTCACCGCCCAGCCGATCCCTGCTCTTCCTGTATTTTTTTCCCAAGATCCATCTACTTCCATGATGAAGTTATCAAAACCTGTTTTTCCTTTTCCTAGCTGAGCATAGTTAAAACCTGGTGGGACATCTATATCATAATCACTCGACACCTCCGTCCCATCGGTTACACAATCCCTATTAGCGAAAGTCTCGTAATCCTTTATAGCAAGATTTATACCTTCCAATGTGCCATTTAGGGTTCCATCTTCTCCTCTGTACACTCTCTCATTCCTAGTTTTCCATAAACACCACAGAGTTGCAATGAACAAAACAATTCGACTGCTATTCTTACCATCCTCGCTGTAAAAGAGCAGGATATAGTGTTGAATCCATTTCTGCACTGAAATGGACTCTGAAAAATCATGGCATATGTTCAGGAGACTATTCTCCCAGACCTCCCTTACCTGACTACACAACCTAAAAAGATGTTGGCCATCCTCTTTGCCCGCCCTACAGTGATCACACTCCGTATCAATAGCCATCCCCCGTCTTGCTAAGTTCACTTTGACGACAATGTTATCATGAAAAATTTTCCACAAGAACAATTTCCATTTCGGTTGGATCCCCAATCTCCATATTAACTTAATGAAATGCTGATCCTTCTCCGAAAACCTAGCACTCTTCATCCCCAAGTCTTTCAACAAGAAGTAGTAACCAGTTTTAACAGTATACTTACCTGACGGATGGAATTTCCAGTGGAGGAAGTCGTCCTCATTAGCCTGTGGGAGTTCCATTGACAGGATGGATTTTGCATAATCCCATTCAAAGCTTTCTCTCACTTTCCTAGCATTCCAAGAATTAGTGTCCCTATTAATAAAATCGCTTACTTTCCAATCTAAAGCAGCCCTTAAGGATTGGTTTGACCTTACCACAGGGATCTCCCCTTTAACCCACGGCGAATTGATAGCCGAGATGGAATTACCATTCCCTACTTTCCATGCAAAACCCTCCTTGAAAATCTTGCTAACCTTTTGGATGCTAGATCTCCCCAAAGACGGGTTTCCCCGTTTTCCATAGATACTATCAGTACCATTAGGGCTCCTTATCATGAAACCTTTATAAACTCTCGAAAGAAGAAGTTGGGGATTAAGGTGCATCCTAGTTGCTTGTTTGAAGATTAGGGCACCATTATAATTAGAAGATCCCCTGATTCCCAACCCACCCATACTCTTCGGTAGCTGTGTAATACCCTTTCTCACCCAGTGTAACCCTTTTTTACCACATTTAGCCCACCAAAACCGAGTAATTATAGAATCTATCTTGTTAACGATGCTCTGAGGAATTTTAAGGCACTTCATAACATGAGCAGACATACTTATCAAGACCGTGTTAATGAGGATTAATTTTGCCGGTTGAGAGAGCTGGAGAGACGCCCAAGCTATTATTTTTTCCACCACTATATCCACTAGAAATTGGAAAAGAGGACCCTTCTTTCCCTTGATATCTATCGGCACTCCTAGATGGATACCCATATTATCAGTTATAGGCATAGATAATGCCTGTTTTACCTCCAATATTTTGTCATTTTCCACCCCTGGTGAAAATTTGATCATAGACTTCTGGAGATTTAGTTGCTGACCAGAAGCTTTACCAAACCTTTGAAGAATATCAAAAATACAGGAACATGATTCCTTATCAGCTTTAAAGAAGAGCATTGCATCATCAGCAAAGAAGAGATGAGAAATCGAGGGTGAACTTCTCAAAACCTTTAAACCACGAAATTGATTTATTTCCTCTGCCAAGGACAACATTCTTGAGAGAATGTCCATACAAAAAATAAACAAATACGGGGATAAAGGATCCCCTTGTCTCAGGCCACACTTAGGAGCGAAGTGTCCTAAAACCTTCCTGTTGATAACCGTCTTAAAACTTACCGTTGAAACACATTGCGAGATCATCCTGATCCAGTGGTTAGAAAACCCATAGGCCCTTAGAACCTTCAGGAAGAACAACCAATCCACTCTATCATAAGCTTTAGACATATCAATCTTAACTGCTGTGAAATTCGACCCCTTCTTTGAGTTTATCAGGTGAATCAACTCGTGGCTCAAAATGACGTTGTCCTCCATATACCTTCTTGGGATAAAAGCATGCTGATATTCTGAGATGAGGTTACAGGCTTCAATCTATTTATCAGGCACTTTGAAATACACTTGTAGATTGTGTTGCAAAGGCTGATAGGCCTAAACTAATTAGCCAGTTCCGAGGCCTTCACTTTTGGAATTAGGATTAGAAGAGATTGATTCCATTCCTTAAGCATATTTCCTGTATTTAGGAACTGCTTCACGCTATCTACCACTAGAGGCCGTACATCATCCCAAATTCCAAAAAAATTTGAAAAAATTTACCGTTACCCCATCAAGACCAGGAGATTTGGAGCAAGGAAGATTGTCAGAGAACTCCCTATTCAACCAAATCTTGCCTTCTTCCAAAAGTTGGGGAATATCGAGCTGACGAAGCAAAAGGTCAATTTCCTCCCCTTTGTTGTCCCCTTGACTCAGGTTGTACGTGCTCTGTATAGAAGTCAAAATCATTTCCTCAATCTTATTCAAGTCATCAACCCATGCCCCGTTATCATCTTTCATCGTAAGGATTGAGTTTCGAGCTTGTCGTTGTTTAACCCTCCTATACATTATAAAGGTTGGACAATCCCCAAATTTGACCTCGTTTGTCTTCATTCTCTGTCTCCAAAAAGCAAAACCCAACTTACTTTCTGGAATAATTGAATTGCTACACTGAATGTAGTTTTCCCCCTCTTGCAGCGAGGTTATGTTTTCCCCTGAGACTTGGAGAAATTTTGTCATCTTTCTCTAGTTAATCCCCCAGCTTTTCTTGTTAGCTAGGCACCATTGTTGCAGTCTTGTTCTCACCCACTCTAGCTTCCTAGATAGTTGAAACATATGCGAACCCTGAATCTCTTCCCTCCAAGAACTTTGTACAATTCCTTTAACTTCAAGAAAAGAAAGGCACCAATTTTCAATTTGGTATGGTCTATTTGAAGAGGTTGATTTTGGGCAAGCATAGTAAGTTATTTCCGCATGGTCGGAGCAAACAATAGGTTCGTGAATGATTATTCCGTTCGGAGAGTGACTAAACCATTCCTCGGTGACATAGGCGCGGTCTAGGCGTTCAAGAATAAGGTCACTTCCCTCTCTCATGTTACTCCAAGTAAATCTTGGACCCGAGAAAGGCACCTCTGAAATATTGCAACTAAACCTCCAATCCAGAAATTCATCTATACCTCTTATTCGAGTCGAACCCCCTAGTTTGTCACTCCTGCTTTCTAGTTGGTTGAAATCTCCTATAACTAAAGTATTTTTGAATTCTTTTAGAAACCATTGTAGTTGCTCCCAAACAATTTTCCTATTTCCTACTTGAGGTTCACCATAGAAAAATAGCACATGCTTGATACTTCCATTAATAGCATGAATTTTACAAAGGATAAAATTTTTGGAAGAAAATAAACATTCTACTACATCACTAGACCATCCTAAAACAAGCAAACCACCACTACTTCCATTCGTATTCCAGCCAAAAATTGAAGTAGGATTTAAGAAACTAAGTTCAGCCGCCGCCGATACATAATCTATTTTTATTACTAAGATAAAGAGGAAAGAAGGTAACTTGGACAGGTAAAGCCACACTATATAAAGAATTGTAAGGGCGTGTGGATATTTGAAACCCCTACAATTCCATGCTATAGCATTCATAATCCTCTTGAAGACTGATAAGGAGCAGCCTTCTCACCTCCTAAAGCAAAACCCAAAAGCCCTAACCTTGTCACCAGGGAATCAACTTCCATTTCACACACAACTTCCCTTAAAGCCGAGGTAACCTCTTCACTTTTCTGCCTTTTACACGACTCAGAAGACGAAGAAGATAAAGCTTGACCTCTTTTGTTTCGGCCCCTCATCCGAAGATCTCCATCAACATCCACTCCGAACTCTCTTGCCATATCAATATCAGTTAGAGCCTTTGAAGCAAAGTGTCTGCTCGCTCATTGTCCGTAACCCAGATAGTGAAGCCCCCTTTTTCTGACCACCTATGCAATCTCTTTAACCTTTTCCTTTCCACCCACTGAAAATCTGTTTCACTATAGCGGATAGAGTCGCCATCGCAAGAGTGAGGAAGGTGACCTACAGCTTCTCTAACTCGTTTCCTGTTGTTAGCACTATCATCATAATTGAATAGCTCTGTGAAATTAAAAGAACTAAAATGTGATACCGGTGTATTCGCAGGATTGTACTCCGTCAAAGGGAGATTCGGAAGCCCCCCTAAATCTGAAGGCGACAGTTGCAAATAAGGTGATGGGGTTACCCTAGCCACTCGGTGCAACTCCTGGATTTCTGCCTTTCTTGCTGATTGTATTCCAAGAGCTAGAATCGTGCTTGCCTCCATAATCTTAGTATATTCATCATCATCGAGCTTCTTCTCCTCTATTGCTCTCCAATTTTCCTGCCCCTCCGAGACCTCAAACCTGTGGCCTGGGATTTCAACCCTATTAAGTTCCTCCCTTGCCATTTCCTCATTGCCCAAAACCCTTACTGAGTTTCTGTTGCTGCTAGGCTCAAGCTGTGTAAAGGCTAACTCTGTGATGCCCAAAGTTTGAAACAAGGATCCAGGTGTGCCCCTTAAGATCGGTGCTTGATGAGCCCTTGATGACTCTCCAACTTCGAAGTTCGACCCCTTCATCATGAACCCCGAAACAAAGGGTTGCAAATCAAAACCTTGATCATTGGTAGACACTGAGATGTGCCCTCTCGAAACTAGTGGCCTAACTGGAAAATAACCCTCTTCCCCTCCTGAGATAGCCATACATCTAGCTTCCTCATCCTGGTGATCCTGATTTCTCACCCTAGCATTGTCTTCAAAAGACGGGTGTGACTGCCTCTCTTGAATCATTTCAGCATATGGGTCCCCGAACAACCCAAAACGTCTCCCTGGAGATAAAGAAATGTTCGGTCTGACTACTTCTTCATCCATTTCCCCCAGCCCTGACCCTTCATTCGACCACTCCTCATTTCCTGTTTGAAAACCATCGCTGCCTTCACTATCCCGGGATGAGGAGAAATTATCCTCTTGATTAATCCATTCGACATCTCTGTTGTCTCTTGGATCATTCCTGTTCACTAAATTACTCTCCTGACTTTCATGCAAACGCAAGTCTACTTCCGTGTTTCGGAAGCAATACCAATCCGGGAGACCCCTGATCATATTTGAGTAGAATGGGTACTCAATAGGGCCATAAGGACCCTCACCCCTTCAGCCTCAACTTCATCCAGTCGTCGCCTTACACGTCTCCTTGCTATTACAGCATAAAGATTACAGCGAGCAGTAGTGTGGCCTGCGCATCCACAAGCCTTGCAGAACCTAAAAATTCCTTCGTAACGCAGGTAAACCCATATAACACGGTTCCCCTCCAACGGGATAAAGCATCCTGGAATGAGTGGGATAGACAAATCAATTAACATGCATGCTCTTAATTCAGCATGAGCTGGAAGATCCCTTCCATCATCTTCTATTTCTTCCAGATAGCCTACATGCCTGAGAATTTGATGAGCCCAGCTTGAAGTTAAGTATGCTAATGGCAGACCATAAATTCTGACCCACACCCTAGAGAGCGAGAAACTCATTTGATGAGGGACGAAATCCACTTTGTATCTTCTGAAGTTTATTAATCTGCCATCGAAAGTCGCTGAGCTTGTTCTAATGAGACCCTCTAGGTCTTAACTCTCTTTACATTCAAAGAGAAAATAAGGACCTGATTTAAAAACCCTTATCTCCCCTTTCCTAATCCAGCGAGAGTTCACAATATGCTGGATATAGTGCTCCGAATGGGGATTTGGCCCAATGAAAGCCCCTATAACACAAGAGTTAAAGTTGATTGCAGACTTGGCTACATCAAAAGGTTATGGGGTTGGGATTAATGGACCCCCCCCCCCCCTCATATTTTGGAATTGGAAGTTATCATGAGGATTTCTATTGTTGCTCATAATTGAAGAAACGACAAATGAATAATAAAGAGCAGAGTTCAGTCAGGTATTAAAAGAACAGAATAAGAAGAAACTGGGCGAGAAGAGAGAAGGTGAAAAGACAGAAGAGAAGAAAAGCAAATAAGGAGAAAGGATTGGATATAGAGTTCTGAAATTCCTTGTATTTATAGCTTGAATTCTATTCTTGGTAGAAGAGAAAACTCACGCATGGGGAGCACACTGGCAGCATTGAATGCTAAATTAGCTTAGCCGCCCCTAGCAACCGTAGCCCTATTCTTTTGGGATAGGGTATAATAAGACTAGGGAAGAGAGAAGTTGGAGAAACGAGAAGATTTGAGCTTTCTTATGCCTGGGAAGATCAACTGACTGCAAAAGGTTAAGGCTTTTGCTAACAAACTATAGAATGGTTGTAGCTCCAAGGTTAGATTGCTTAGAAGCGATAGAAATAGGATAAATGATCCACAAGCACACGAAACGCCTAGAGAAACTCCTCTAACCTAGAAACCAAGATCCCTACTGATGGAATTCTTCCAGCAAAACAAAGGAAACCAGAATTCTCCTTGAAGGAGAAGAGAAACCCTAAGGTGCTTACTCACATTTAAGTGAGAGACGCTCTCAATTCTAGAGAGAGAAGTTGGTTTGTGCTCCCAAATTTATATAGGATTTAATATTAAGTGAAGAATGAAAAAATTAAAGTTTAGATGGGAAAAGGATGAGTAGTAATGCTTCTCTCATATTTTGTTTTTATAGGGAGGAAGTTTACTGGTAATTTGATAGTGGGGGAGGTTATGTTTTAATTTATTAAATTTTTTTATTATCTATTAATTTTGTTTACCAGTTAGAAAGTAACCGTAATTTTTTTTTTGTTTTAAATTTCATTAATTTTATTTTGTTTGTAATTCAGTAACAATTGTTTTAAAAAAAGTGCAATATTTAAATTCCAAATAAAAAGTAATTATAAAGAAGGGTATTTTTGAAAACAAAAATTCCCAACCAAAAGTGGGAGTTCACTTTAAAGAGTAACATAAATAAAATATTCACAATCATTGTTTTATGAGATTAGGAACATAAAAATATGAAATTAATACATTTAAATCTAAAATTGAAACTTTAATAAATGTGAAATTTTATTTATAATCAAAATTATTATGCTTTAACATAATTTAGACATAATATAATTAGATAACTTAATCAACATGTTTTAAACCCAAAAACCATGAAAAATCAAGATTTTAAACCAACTTTAAATACTTATTAAAATCTGAAATTTTAGTCATTAAATTAAACATAGTGAAACTCAAAAATTTGCAATCTTTTATAATTCATATACATAATCAAATCATAATAATTAACAATCAAGGAAAAATTCATATAAAGATTGAGGCTTTAAAGGAATTTAAACAAGAAAAGAGAGAAAGATAGAAGAGAAAGGGAAGTAGAGGAAAACGACTGACTGTATGGCGGTTCAGGGCAGCAACAAAGGTCGTCGGTGGTGGTGGTGGTCGGCAGAAGCGGCGGTGTACTGGCAGCGGCATAAATTTTTTTTTTTTTTGTTTGTTTTCGCTGGTTGATGCGTGAATAGGAAGAAGAGGCAAAGCAGTAGTAGAATTTGTGAGGGAGTGGGGTTTTACGTGAGATTGAAGTGGAAAGAGTTTGTGGGTTTATAAAGATTAAAGAGTATGTGCTTAGGTGTTTAAGCTCTTTTTCTAATCCTAATAGGATTATGACTTGCTTTTAGGCCACAATATGTTGGGTTAGATGAAAATAGGCTCTATTCACTTAAAATTGGGCAACTATTATTATAACACTAT